CCGCCCCATCAGCAGACATGGTGTTCACAGAATACGAGGGCAGGAGGGGCCACACTCCCCTACCCACGTCCCAGAGCTGCTCTCCAAGGCCTCCCTGTGAAATATGCTAAACCTCTGGAGACCAAGAGGGCTCTGTTGACTTAAGCAGGGTCTTGAGCCACGTGGAATTGAATGCAGATGGAATGAAATAGGCCTGGTGGTTGAATTTGTTGTCACACTGGAAGTTGATACCGGGAACGGGCAGTAGGAGGGTGGAGCAGAGAGAGAAGGAGCAGAGGGCACTTGCTTGTCGCTGGGGTAAGATGGGATTCAGATGTTACATGAACAAATAGAAAAGCTTGAGCAATGAACCACGTCAAATGGCAGGGAGCAGTGGAAGCTTGAGGCCGAATGATTCCACAGGTCGCTACGCTGCATCCAAACGGTTTGCCCAATGTAGGGATAGGGAAGTGAGGCCGGTGCAGGTGGGAGCAGGAGGCTGGAAGGGATTGAAACCTGCACTCCACTGGGAAGTTCCCACCCGAGAAGGGAATCACGTAGGAAATTTAAAACATTTGAAGCTTTAGAGCAGAAAAAGAACTGCTGACACTTTTATTACATAGATAGGTAAACTGAGGCCCAGCCAGAGTCCAGGTACTCAAAGAGGTGTTAACAAGACCACGCCTGGAACTCAGGCCCCTGGTTGTGTGGCGAGCTCTCTGCATCACCACCCTGGATACCCTCAGGCTGTGTGTGAAATGTGTCCCGTATTAAACCGGACCCTGCTTGCTAGGCTTATGCCAACATTGTCCTGGCAGAGACTCACGTGAACCATCCTCACGTTTCTTTTCCGTGTGCACTTGACTTTCCACATGCACTTACCTTCTCCAGCATCCTTGATCTACTGTTTTTTCTACTTTTGATGATTTATTGTCCCTCTTCCACCCTCTACCACCTTCCCATGCCCATGAGTTCTAATGGGGCAGGGGCCATGGCAGCTGCCAGGAGACGGGAAAGGCGGAGGAAGTGGGCGGGCCCGTGTGAGGGAGCCCAGCCGGCTGCAGGTGCAGGGGCTGCTGCCATGTGGACAAGGGCAGTTCAGAGGACATCTGGGCAGGAGGCAGCCCGCCTCCCACGCCTTGATGGCCCAGACATGCTGTGTGAGTTAGGACTCAGACACCCACCACGGCAACGCCCTACAGCCCGGACCCCATCCTCCCAAGTGTTCTCGTAGCCAGATGTGTTGTCCTCCAAAGTCTCAGCAGCCCCAGGTGGTCCGGAGCGAAGCCCAGTCCTGCTGATGTCTAACTGCAGCATCCATGCTAAGGAGAATCTCCACTCCCCTGCTCTAAAGCTCGAAGGGCCAACGTCCCACAACCTGAGCAACAGGTGAGCCATCTTGAAATGCAGGGCAGCCGCGTGTGTGAATGAACAGGAAGAAGATGAAACAGGAGCCCCACCTTACACCCTCGGGGGGAGCTTCCAGTCACTTTGCTGAATAGCACAAAGCCAGGAGGGGTGACTCATTACCCACCGATCAGGACTAATAGGTGGTCACGGATGGGCCTGGTTATCTGCTTCAGTGGATGGTGCTGTGCAGGTGGCCTCAGTGCAGAACAGACTGTCTCAGACAAATGTACTGATGCACCAGTGAAGGAGAGGGAAGCTGGGGGAGCAGTGGTCGTTATGACCCAGGACACCGAGGCCAGGCTCTGGAGAAGCCACCCAAGCACGGCGGCATCTCCTTGTCCGTTATCTGGATGCGCACAGAGGGTATCCCCCAGAACCAGTCCGCTCAGACAGAGCCTGCCCTGTGAGGAGGTGGGCTGGTGCTGGGCTTAGACTGGCCGGATTGTCTGGTGGTCACTCAGCACGGTGTGACAGCACGCCTCCAACATTGGCTCTGAGATGATTAACGCAGATCAATCAAAAATGTTTCATGAAGGGACTCTCAGAAATCTGTTTATTTCATATTTGAAATGCTATGTAGACTGATTTTTTTTTAATTGTCTGGTTATTAAAAGTATTATTCTTGTTTGCTCATTATGTTTTTAAGGGATGATAACATTTCACCCTAGTGTTTCAGGGCTGATAGAGACTTAGAAGTCATCTAACTGCCTCATCTCACAGATTTAAAAAGCGACATCCACATTGATGAGGGGACTCCCTGAGTCACACAGCAAAGTGGAGATGGAGTCCCTCAATTCCCGCCCCTCCACCGTGCTCGTGTCGCCGTCCCCAACCTTTGTGGCACCAGAGGCTCGTTTCATGGAAGACAGTTTTTCCACAGATTGGGGTGGGAAGGACGGAATTCAGGCATGTTACCTTGTTTGTGCACTTCCGTTTTATTACCGCATTGTGATATATAATGAAATAATTCTACAGCTCACCGTGATGTAGAATCCGTGTGAGCTTGTTTTTCTGCTGCTAGTCGGTCCCCTCTGAGGGTGAGGGGAGACAGTGACAGATCATCAGGCGTGAGATTCTCATCAGGAGTGGGCAGCCTGGCTCCTTCGCAAGCAGAGTTCACAGCTGGCTCAAGCTCCTGTGAGAACCTGATGCTGCTGCTGATTGGACCGGAGGCAGAGCTCGGGTGGCGATGCCAATGGCGGGAAGATGCTGGGAACACGGGGAAGCTTGGCCCTGCCTGCTGAGCTGCCCGGTTCCTAACCACTCCCAGTCTAGAAAAACTGGTTTCCGAAGAAACAAACAACTGTTTCTCTTCCCTTTCCCTGGTACGATTGGTCCCTGTTGTTTTGGAAGTATTGAGAGTAGAAACATTCAGGACAGTCGTTCGTTTCCAAAACTTTAAGGAGTGATGTATTTGTTGGATAACTGGATACCTGTATAAAAATAAAAATGGCAAAAGTTGATTGTGATTATCACTATTACACAGCAGTCCCTCTCATTCACTGAGCACCTGGTGGGTGCCAGGTACGGCACTAACCTCTTTACATATATATATTTTTCCATTTCATTCTTAAAGCAGTCATGTGAGATTAGCATTTTTCCCACTTTACAGCTGATGATGCTTGTGTGTAAGGTTGAACATCTGTCCAAGGTCAGTCAACCAGTGAGACCTGCCACGGGCCACGCAAGTTCCTCCAGGTCCACGCACTGTGTCCTGCCCCCACGCTCTTCCCCTGGCACTCTCTCGCCCAGGGTCTGACTGTATCAAGGGGCTCCCGCAGGACCTGTGGTCCTCCTGGCCTCTCTCGCTTGTCTGAGGATCTGGGCACCCTCCTCGGGGCACCGTCTCCTCCCAGTCCCTGCCTGAACCCGGCCCTGGCTATCTTCTGCCCCCACACCCCCAGCCGGCACCTCCGCCCCTCTGTCCTTCTTTTGCGCCTTGCCGTAACCTTTCTGGCACGCATTTTAATTGCATTAGTAAGTACTTGGAAGAACTCGAATCACTTCCCGTTTCCTGGGTGGAGGTCTAGAGTCCCACCGCTCATCCCCCAGGTTGATCTGACCCCGCCGGACTCTGCGCTCCCACCTTCCACCCTCTTGCCCAGCCCTGCTCCACACACTCCAGGTTCCAGCCTTTGGGGTTTGCGTTCCTGTTAGTTGTCCGAGCCCGTGGTGTTCTTACATGCGTTGATGTCTTTTGCAAATTGTGTTACTTGGGACGTATTGAAATGTTTTCTTTCCCTCCCCGACATTCTTTATGCACCCGTGAAAGCTCATCCCAGCCTCACCTCTTCCTGAAAGCCTTGCCAGCAACCTGAATGCCTGCCCTCTGTGTACAGTGCACAGCGCCCTCTGCACATTTTCATCGTGGGATTTATCCCACTTCATCCATTCATTCCACAAATGCCCACTGAGTGTCTATGGCGTGCCTGGTGCTTGGTGCATGGTGTATACTGGAGTGAGTGGTTCTAAAAGGGTATTTCTGACCTGTCTAAATCCCCCATTAGAACATAGAGCCTCGATGTGAGGATCTGTGCTGCTCACCTTTGGACTCCAGCATAGCTCAGCACCCAACATAGAGGAGTCTCCCAAATAGTACACACTGCTCAGGGCCTCAGCGTCCGAGAGCCAAGGCCAAGCAAGGTGAGGCCTGCAGGACCCCCTTGCGGAATAATCGGTAGTGAGGGAGGTCACACATCTCACTCTGCACAAATGGAATGTCTGTCTGTGGTACTTTTGCCTCTGTCTTCCCTACCGCACCTATTCGTGTGTGTGTGTGTGTGTGTGTGTGTGTGTGTGTGTGGTCTATATATTATTTCTAGAAAAAAAAAAAGAATTTGTAATGTAGCTTTGAAAATCGCTCTTTCTCAAGGAAAGATTGTGAGCTTCTGCTGTAGGGGTCTTCTCCAAGTCTGGGCCAATTTCAGCGTGATTCAGTGGTGATTATCGGTGATACTGAAGGTATTTTCTGGAAGGCTGGCATGGGACTAATGACATCTAAGCCTGGGAAGTTCTGCACAACTTTGAATTATGCATTTGCTTTCATAACAACATTATCAAGTGCTATGGCTCATCTTGTTTCAGTAGGTTATCAAGTCTAAAGATATAATTTAATCTGCAAAATATACAAATCCAAATATATCCAAAGCTCTTTCACGACAAAGGCATTTTTATATTTTACATAAATATACATGTAAATATAATGTGATTAAAATAAATCTTGCTTTAGATGTCTATTATATGTAGCGTCTATTTGGCGAAATGTTTAATAAATTGTATTGCCAATTGCATGTTATACACATTACACAAACCAACCTCATGAGTTTTAGTAGGATCTCCGTGTTCTCTGGAATTAGAGGAATGAAGACCTAGGAGACTCAGACTAAATATTCATGGTAACTAGACAAACGCGAGCTGTATTTATTTGTGCTATCCTTTCATTAGCAGATCTCAGCACACTGCAGGGATCGTGGGTGCTTTCGGCCCTCTGGTGTTTGTGCTGATGACATTTCATGATAAGCCTTAAATATCTTGATTGGTGTGACTTTAAAAGATGGTCACAGATCTTTTTTCTCTCTCTCTTCCCCACCTTCTCTACTTTTGTTTATTAGTGTATATGGTTGTCCCTTGGCGAAAAAAAGGAAAACGCAAGATAAACAGCCCCAGGAACCTGCTCCCAAGCGAAAGCCATTTGCCGTGAAAGCGGACAGCTCCTCCGTGGACGAGTGTGAGGACAGCGATGGGACTGAAGACATGGACGAGAAGGAGGAGGACGAGGGGGAGGAGTACTCCGAGGACAACGAGGAGCCCGGGGATGAGGACGAGGAGGACGAGGAGGGGGACCGGGAGGAGGAGGAGGAGATCGAGGAGGAGGACGAGGACGATGATGAAGACGGAGAGGATGTGGAGGATGAGGAAGAGGAAGAGGAGGAAGAGGAGGAGGAAGACGAGGAGGAGGAAGAAAACGGTAATCTTTAAAATATTAGCAAGGTAGCAAGTCGTGATTTGGGTCCGCGGTTCAAGGTGAACTGCCGGCCGTGACTGTGACGGATTGTCATGTAAATAAATCATTCTGCTTGGTCAGTACTGACAAAATTAGCTCCTTATGTGAATTGAACACTTCTGTTAAATAATTCTTCAGACTCTCTGCTAGACTTCAGATTTTATTTCAGTCTAATTTTTATTCAGGTTGGCTGTCAGTGATTTGCTGAGATATTTATGGTGTACCTATTTGATCAGCTTAACAGAATTTACCGAGGAAGTTAAGCTAGCAGACCTGGTCTTTAACATTACATTTTCTGGAATGCTCTATGTGTGAGATTCAATGGTGGGCAAAACAGTGTTGTTGGAATGCTTTACCTCCTTAGGGGAGCTGGAAAGCCTGCCTAATGACTGGCACACCAACCAGCAGAGTGGGTTTTGTCTGCAGACTGCCAAGGCTTTGCTTTAGTGATGGTCACGTCAATGGGATGAAAGGAAGTCCTGTTGATATGAGATAATCAATCAGCCCATCATCTGCTTCCGTATGTGACAGCTGCGTTTCTGATCGGGCGTTTCTGGCACTGGGAGACACGGGCGGGGAAAGTCCACCAAGGATGTCCCTGGCAAGGTGTTCATGGTGACGTGGCTTTTGTGTCCAGCGTCTGTCACTGTCAGACGCACAATACAAGCCCAACACTAACCCTTTCAAAGAAGTCATGTCTTCTGAGGAAAGAGGTGGGAGTTTTGGGTTTGTGTGTCTGTGTTTTTGTTTTTGTTTTTGTTTTTCCCAAAACCTAGATAGCATCTTTATTGGCTTAGGGTTTTCCTCATAGAAATGCCAGAATATGTTGAAAGTGAAGGGAATTTTCCTTCTTACCCTTCTCCCTTGGGCTCAAAAGTTCTTCAAGAATCTGATTTCCAGGAGAACTAATTTCTGGACACAAGGGTAGTGGTATCAGCCAGTGGGTAGAGCCTCCATACACTGGGGAGATGTGAGTTACTTGTTGCTAATCTCATGTGCAGGCTTAAATTAGCAGGATTCCTTCAGAAGTCAGAATAGTTTGTGCTAGGAAACCTGCATTTTATGAAATAATCCTAGATTGTTACAGTGGCTTAAGATTCTTACATGTACATATACACATAGGCCCAGATAGAGATGATAGATAGATATGTAGATATACACACAGATGCATACGCACACACACATACCTTGCATAAATTAAAATCAGTCTGCCAAGATTTTTTGGCTTGCTGTGGTAGAGTGCTAGGTGAGAAAGCCTATCAGAACACACAGCAACAGACTTACCATCATCTCTGTTAAATCTACTGGGGAGGCAATGACCCCAGTGTCATTCATGAGATGCTAAGAATTAAAATAATAGATTTGTGTAGTAAAATATTTGGAAAGTTGGGGAGAGTAGATCAATCTGGCAAGTTATTTCTGGATGCTGTATTAAGTGACTGTCATTTTGAGTGACCACATTAATTGCGTAGACTGATGAATGATTTGTACCTTGACCATGGCTTTCTAAAAAGATGGTGGCTAGTTCATGTTCTCATCCCGTTTGGAAATCAGGAGGCATTCGTGTTCGGTGTGGATAGGAGATCTGTAAATAGGTGTCATTTACACCAGGAGCCTTAACCAGATTTTAGATTTTGCTCTCCATTTTCTAGAATCAAAAATTCAATTTTGGTTTATGTATGGTCATATTTTAAATAATCGTTCTTTAAAAATACAAAGTGATATACTTTGAAAGGTAGCCAGAGCCTTATGGAAATAGCTTTAGAATGTGTCTATGTAGGGTTTGTTTATTCTGACTTGAACACTTAGGACATAATTGTTTTTAAAAGCTAGGACGCGACTAGAATTAAAGAAATTTTTTGCCAGAAAAACGTAACCAAATGGGCAGTGGATGTGTGACAGCCCTGGCTGGCTGTGCCTCGGGACGCAGGACTTCTACCTCTGTGGCCAGGCCTGGCACGGTGACCGCCACTGAGGTGCTCAGCAAATGCTGAGTCCAGAGCACAGAAGAAGGAGGTGCCGAAAGCAAACACCTGTGAAAAGCCAGCAGGACGGCGAACGGATTCATAGTCAGTTGTGGGGTGCCTGATGTCAGAATTCGTGTTCAGTATCTGGCTCCCCAAGGAAGTAACTTCTATCATACCTTGATATGGCCCTTAAAGGAATCAGGTGAACTTCTCGGAACGGTACAGCCACAGTGAGATGCTGTGAGATCAGCCTTCCTGCACCAGTGTAGACAGGGGCACCCAGTTTCCTGAGCAGCCTGGCAGGAGAGGGTGATACCTCACTCCCTTTCAGGGAGCCTCTCCTGAGAATCCCAGGTCCCAGGCAGCCACTTAGAACCAATAGCCTGCCCCTCTGGGGGACCTTCTACCCAGTTTCCAGTGCTTCAGTTTCTCTGAAAGGACACCAAAGGCTTTTTGATTTCTAAGGCAAACAAATGTATTTCTCCTAAGAATGAATCTCCTCAGAGGCCTGATTCCTGGAGACATGCCCAAGAAGCCTTTCTGTCAGAAAAAGATGTTTCCATCAGAAGAGCCCCACGTGGGTGTTTTAAGACCCCATTTAGCCAGCGTCACCTGCAGGTACTCCAGCTGGATGGAGCACCTCCAGGTCTCTTATCCCCATCAGGGTCAGAAATCTCCAAGCAGCTTCTTTATCAAAGGAACAGGATAGCTCTATTGATAGAGCAGTCGTGTTACGTGATCAAACTCCTAATACGTGTAATGTATTAAAAGGAGGCTTTGAAAGGCGTACATCTGCCGGTCTCCTGTTTGAATATCCTCACTTGCTAAGCATGTTATGTTTTACCTTACTGTTAAATTTAGTGCCAAAACCACTATCAACAGTGTACATGTCGGCCATGCCAGCAGCATCTTTAATGTGTGACGTGCGGTGTAAGTATGGAAGACCCCATACCGTGCACGCCAGAGATGTCCTCCTGTCTTCCCTTTCAGTGGCTTGGCAGAAATCATGTGTTCCCTAAAAGCGGGGGTTTCCCACCCGTGTCTGATGGCTGGAGTTCCGGCTCAGCATCCTGAGGCTGCCTCTCATGCTCCTCAGGTGGCACTCACAGTGACTGCCATGTCCCTGGGCTAGTCGCAGTTTCCCCCGAAGTTGATTATACCTCTTTTCTAACACACGGAAGCACAGACAGTGGCCTGAGGTTAAAATGAAGCCACGTGGTCAGAGCTCGGAGCCCAGTGTGATTCTCATGCCCACCCTGCCTGGCACAGTGGCCTTCTGAGTGCAGAGACCAGGGCATAGTGACGGAGCTGCTAGGACGAGGTCACGCTGGCCTCAGCCTTGAGAGCAGAGAGAAAGTCTCAGGCAATTTATCCCAGCCGGATGCCATAATTTGTTCAACCAGTCGGGTATTTTTACCTCTATTATAAACTGAAATGGGGACTTTACTGAGAGGTTTCGTTTTAGATAAAACAAATATATGCAAACCCCCAGATGATTGCAATAGGAGCGCACAGGTTCTAGGAGGAACATTATTTATAATTTAAGAATTAAGTATTTAATTTAAAGATCCTCCAGCACTGTTGCTTACCTGAACCAAAACAGTACTAATAATGTACGTTTCCAATGGGCACATTTAATCACATTATTGGGTTTGATCTTCATGCTGACTGTATAAGATGGGTAGGGCAGAAGTTCCTTTTCTCTCATCATACAAGTTAGAAACTGAGACTACTTAAGATTGTGTTTTTTTCTGGAGGTAGTGGATAGATAATCAAACACTTTGTGTGGTTTTCCTTGTTATGGAACTCATGGTGTCATGATCACCTTCTGCTTATTTGAACAACAGGGGATAACACCTGAGAAATTCATTTCAGATTGAGTTCATATTTAATTAAGCAAAGTCGTGTTTATTGTACCGTAGACCTATCATAGGCTGGTCTTTTGCGTGAAGAATTTTGTTTTCAGAATACATCGTTACAGTCTAAGTCCACACTGATTAAAAACTCCCTTGTTATCCTAAAGTTAAGAAAGTTCTTGTTCAATAGTCATAGATTTTTCTACCCTCAGATCTTTTTATGTTATGATAAATATTACTTGGATTCCTGTGCTTTGAGTAATATATATTACATGGGCATATGATGTCTAACAAGTTAGGGTTTATATTCACACTCTAGTCTACTAACTATCTCTGAATAAATGTACATACACACATGTGGATATTCTTTCTAGTAGATGTTGCCTCTTCCCATAGGCAGGAACCAGCCCTGCCCGTGACAGAGCCTGAAGTGTGCGTTCTAGACTAAAGGAAGCTTCCGTGTACACAGCTGTCTTTTGCACACAGGTGTTTCTTTAGATGCTCTGTTTCTGGAATATTTTGGAGAATAGATGAGGTCCTGTCTTCACTGCTCTTTACTGAATCTCAGGGCTGCCTTGCCACTTGGTCTCGAGGTTAAATCAGGTGAAATGCAGGCGTCTTCTGTTTCTAGTCTCCCTGGCTTCCTGTGTCGAGTTCTCCAGATCAATGAGCCGATGGCGTGCCCTGGCATCCTGGGCTGCTGTGTCTAGAAGAGAGAGCTGCTTGAGAGGGAATCTGTGTGGTCACATCAGGACCTTCTCCATGTATGACCTGATGGCTGTGACTGCTCTGGCAGGACATGGAGGCTGCCCTGAGGCGGAGTTAGTGTGGGGACAGGGCGGGGAGTCGAACAGGCTGCTTTTGTTGGAGGAGTGCCATGACTCTTCTGTCAGCTGTGGGATCACGATGGTGGCCAGCAATCCGTGCCTGTTCAATTCTAACTTCAGGCTCTGTCCTCTTCGTGAATCGTCCTGTGCATAGGACAAGTTTCTAACAGGGCGTGTCCACTCCCCACCCTCTTTATTTAAAGGGAATTCCAGGCCAAACTCACGCTGTATAAAATCCTTCTCACAGAAACATTTCTTTTTTCATGATAAAGTGCCCAGGGTGTGATTTCTTTCAAACAGGATGAGGTGCCAGG